TTAACTCTTTCACTACCGCAAGCCACTGGTAGCGGCTTTCGAGTATGCTTTACAATTTATCTCTTTTTGTACATAAATTTCCATTCTAGATACATAGAATTTGTTTTTTCTAAAGGTTTAATAAATTCTCTACATAATCAAGAAAAAATAAGAGCTATATTGTGTAATTATAAAAAAGTTATCACAAAGTTAAAAAATCTTGAATAATCCTCCTTTAAAAAAAACTTTAAATTTAGTTATAAAATAAAACAGCGTTAACACTGTAAAATTTAACTTGTAGAAGTGTTAAATATTTAGTTAAGTAATTACCAAATTATTTTGAAGAAAAAATATTATTTTTATTCATTAAATGAGGGTTTGTTTTGGACTTAATGTTTTAGTTAACTAGTTACTACTTATAAAAACGATAGTTTTAAGCACTTTGCATTTCTTTTTATTTAATGATGCCTGTTAAAAACTGTTATTATCGAATTTAAAATAATTGTCAATGTTATGCTGTTCAAATGTTATTCAAAAAAATGTGCAGTTGCTAAAAAAAGATTTTTGTTCAGCTGGTAGCGAACAATTTAATGCGATTCTTTGTTTTTATATTTATATTATAACTGTTTTTTGTATAATTTAGTACAAATATTTGTTTTAACTTTAATTTAGTTTGATTTGAACAGTTATTAGTAAAATAATTTGTTTAATATTTATTTTATACTTAGTTCAGTTTATATGTTTTATTCAAGTCATTTGTTTTTTATTCAGTTTATATTTTAAATTAACTTATACGCTTTAGTAAAATTATTCTTTTAGTATCTAGTTTATATTTAGTTTAAACCACTACGTTTGCTGTAAATATTTGTTATATATTAAATTTTTATTTTTTATAAATTTAATTCCTTATTTCATCATAAACTTTTTTGGGGGATTTAGTAAAAAGTTATACAATTAACATGATTTGGTGATTGTGGCAAGAAAAAAAAAATATGACAGTTTGAAAGAAAAAATTTATACGATGACATCATATACCGAAACTGTTATGAATTAAACACGCATGGCATAAATTATTAAGTCTGCATATTGCGGCTAACATTATACAGACTCTGAGAACCAAAAAAAAATGGAGAAGGCGAGCTTCAACTAAAACATGAAATTTAAATTTAATAGTGTGCATTCATTATATAGTTTTAATCAAAAAAATTTAGCCCAAATGTTTTTTTTAAACATTTTCTTTAATATAAACACAATTTGTCTCGGCAGTTGAGAGTTCCTTTAAGTAACAGTGAAAGTACACATTTAAAAAAATACTTAAAAAGTAGAAATTCACAAAATAACTACTCAATTACAGTAACATGAGTAAATGTAAATTGTTTCTTTCCACCTCTGCATAGATACTACATGAGCTTAAAAGTATAGTATATAACATGTTAAAAAAAAATTTGAACAAAATGAATTTAACTAATTTTATTGATGTAAAAACTAAAGTTGCATAAGTTAAAAAAAAAAAAAATTAATTTTAAAATTAAAATATTACCTGATTTTTGCGATATCAAAAGTTGCACTTGTTAATTCAATTTGTAGGATATACAGGTACTACATAGCCGGCAGGCTACCTGCCCACTGCATTTCTATTATACAACATGCTGCAACATAACCTGTTATATAGCTACTACATATCCCACTTATAGCCAACTACACAGCCAGCTACATAGCTACTATATCGCCCGTGGCCTGCAATGTATCTTCTACATAAGCATGTAGCCCGCTACATGCCTAGTAAATTTTGCCTTATTAGATATCTTATATAGATATCCTATACATGGTCATCTTAGTAGATGCTCCTTGAGATTAAACATCAAATAAATTAGAATGTCATTTTTTTTTTAATATTTAAAAACATTTTATTTTATCATTCAAATGACCATAAATCTTTATTAAATTGATTATTATTTTTTTTGCTTCAGATTGATTATAAACAAAATTCATTTTTTACTTTTTCTCTATGCAACATAGTTTATAAGTTTGCCCCCACAGACAGACAGATAACCGCTATGTTTATATATAAGTATATATACACACATATAAATTAACCATTATATGCGCACTGATGACTAAATCATACTTAAAAAGGAAGTTGCAATGGCTTCAGTACATACAGCGACTATAGCAAACAGTTAAACCATTATGAAGTGTCATTTTCACATAAAAGTTACCATATTAATCTTCTGTTAAATAGTTTGATCTTTTTTATTGTATTTTTCGCTAATTTGTTGTAATTAATAAAAAATTGTAATTTATACTTTGATATCATAGAATATTTGTATATAAAATTAAATAAGTTTTTTTAACCCAACTGAAGATGACTTTAATTATATGAATATAGGGGAAAGTTGGGATACAGTGGATCGAAGGGCACAGAAATTTATACATCTTGATAATCATTTTA